AAGTTTTGGAGGGAGGAGGAAGATGTTGTCAACTAAGGTTTTGAATAATGTCTCCTTTGGCATTTTAAACTCAAAGTGGGCTGAACCACAGATCAACACATATAGGCATTATGTGACAGAGAGATGCACCATGTGTACAAATAGACTGTGTGTATCAAAAAATAGCAACCTGAAAGGAAAGGTAATAGAGAAACAAAGATAAAGGGGCTCAGAAATGAGGGATCCTATCTGCTGTTGTCTTTACGTGTCTGCCTCCAGATTTAGGAGGGAGGGTGGAAAGGAGAAATCCGAGTATCTACTCAGATTAGGCCTGATGGTAGGTTATATGCAAACACACACCCGTGTCCCCATTTTACATATGGGGGGCATTGAGTCACAGAGAAGGTAAGTACTTTGCCCAAGGTTACTTATTAGTAAGGGGCAGAACCATGATTAAACTCAGGTCTTTCTTATTCCAAATCCCATGCTCTTATGACTCCACTTGATTTATTTGCTTTTCCTGGTTCTCTCTCCCTCTTCCCCCAGCGTTCAGTATTATAATGAGGTCACTTTTTAAGTAACTGGTGGTTTAAGATTTGCTAGACCTATTTTTTTCAAGCCTTTTTTTTTTTTTTTCCTAGTTCTAGATGCTAGTCCTTCCCTTCATCTCTTCTTCAAATGCTTGTTAAGTGTAGGTAGTGTGCCAGGCCCTGGGGATAAAGAGACCAGGTATTAGGCAGTGCCACTCAAAGTGGGCTCTATAGGCTGTTGTTGGTGCCTGCATTAGTCAGGGTTCTCCAGAGAAACAGACCATTGCGGGGGGGGGGGGGTGTATGTGTGTATAAAGAGATTTATTATAAATTATTATGGAGATGGTCAAATTCCAAGATCTGCAGGATGAGTCAGCCAGCTGGAGACCCAGGGAGGCCGATGGTGTAGTTCTACACTGAAGACCTGGAGGCTCGAGACCCAGGAAGAGCCAGTGTTTCAGTTCACGTCCAAAGGCAGGGGAAAAAAAAAAAAAAGTCCCAGTCTGAAGGCAGTCAGGCAGGGGTAATTCTCTTTTACTTGGGGAAGGATCAACCTTTTTGTTCTATTCAGGCCTTCGACTGATTGGATAAGGCCCACCAACATTAGGCATAGCAATCTGCTGTACTCAATCCACTGATTCAAATGTTAATCTCATCCCTAAACACCCAGAATAATATCTAACCCAATATCTGGGCACCCCATGGCCCAGTGAAGATGATACATAAAATGAACCATCACGGTCCCTAAACTGTTACTGATCCGCAACAAGATAAGTATGGAAGTTGAGAGTAGGCACTTAGAAACTTCTAGAGCAATTGGATATGCATCAAGAAGCATGGGGTCAGGAGACTTGTCTTGATGAGCAGGGTATAGACCAGTTTGTTGAACTCAAGTGATGAATTGCCTGCGGGGGAGGCTATGTACTAGGCACGTGTATTAGGGCCAAATTTTTATGTAGGATGGATTTGGGGAAAAACTCTTGACCACTGATAGTTTCAGAAATACTGGTGTGGGCACAGTTGTTTCCATAGGCCATAAAATTCCACATGATGGGCTTTATAATGACGACCTGTACACAAAGCTAGGAGAGTGTTCCTGGGAGAGACCAGAGCCTATAAGACATCACAAAGAAGCGCAGATCGCATCGGAGAGGGACAGCCTTTCCCTGTCCCACCCCTCCCCCATCCCCACCCCCAGAGGGTTAGGAGAAGGCTGAACAAAGAGTCGTCCAGGAACAAAAGGGAGAGTCAGGATGAATAAAACCGGAATGAGCCGTGGACATGACAGAGCAGCAGGCCCCACTTGTATCCACTCTGGCCATGCAGCATTGGGATCGGTCAGCCGGGTTCAAGACTCAGGGTCCATCTGCACAATGAGGCCGCGGAAGGTTAGAGCTGAGAGGGGCCTGGCACATCTCACTATACTCCCTTTCAGAAGCGGAAACTCGCTGAGGAAGAGGCAGGGGCCAGCTCAAGATAATGGACCTTTAAAACAAGCAAACCAGCAGTTAGAGTTCTGCCATCTGTTGAGCAAGTCTTACACGGCAGGCTCGGGGCACAGCCTGAGTGTGGCGTTTTCCAACACGGGTTCCCCTCACGGAGGCCTGGCATTTATTATTTTGTGTGTCTTCATTGGTGACACATCTATAGAGTTGTGAAGTGGAGAAAAAACCTGCAAGAGCTAAGTTTGGTCAAACCGATTTGGGGTCTAAAGCCAGTTGGAAATGGACAAAGGATGTTGATAGCATTTCCCCTCCAGTACCCCTGGAATTGTAATTGCTTCGGGATTACATAACTACCGCTTTATTGATAAGCACATAATCAAAGAATTATAAACATGTAAAATGTGGGGCTTTCGAGAGAGGAGCTAGAGGAAGTGATCAGCCCCCATGGGAACACTGCCTGCTCCTCCTTTTTGCCTTTGGATGAACTTTGACCAGGCTAAGGCCGAAGGCAAGTAGGTTCAGAGATGTCACACATCAAAGTAAGCCAAGGTTTGTTGGCCGCTTGCTCCCACATACCACTCGGAGAACAGCCCTGTGTTCAGAAAATTTACAGCACCTAACACCCTAATTTATATCATCAACCCATCCTACCCATGATACCACTTCCCCACACTGGGAAGGGGTTGGAGGAACTAATTTATACCGAGTGCTTCCCAATGAGAGGCACGGTGCACCGTGCTTTGTATTTCCATATCTTACTTAGCCTCCCATCACCCTTACAAGGTTAGCATTCCTGCTCCCATCTCACAGAAGGGAAAACAAGCTCAGAGCATTTCAGTAACCCCTCCAAAGAACGAACTTGCAGGTCTCATTTGTTGTTAATTTTCCGGAGCTTCTGGGCCCCTGGGGTGGGCTTCCAGAGCTTCCTGGATTCCTGCGCAGATGTTCTAAAATCCTTTCATGAGAAAGAAGCCCCCCTCAGGCCCCAGAGCATCTGTACCTCTAACTCAGTGCAAGGACACAGGAGCATGGCCTCCTGTAGTCGGAGACCTTGTTTCCAGTTCCACCACACCACAGTGGGAACATGGCTTAAGCTTTTCGAGTCTCGGTTTCCTCATCCATCATGGGGACACCGATGGCCATCTGCTTGTGCTGTGATAACCTAAGACGTTATCCGCGTGAACTACCCAGCACGAGCAGGTACAGAACAGACGCGACACAACGCATAAGTCTGCCCGCTGCCAGAAGCTAGATGCACATCTTTTCCCACCCCCGCTCGAAGGGTCTGTGTCCCTTGAGAAAACACAATTGCTGTTAGCTGCCTATTCCTTTTCATTCTCTGTGGAACTAATTTGATTTTACCAAACAGGGACACAGGTTTCAAAAGCCTGGATCAGAGCTTGTAATTGGCCAGCTCAGTGACAATGCAGCCCTAATCAACCTGTGATTTCACGTCCCACGTGGTTGGCCGCGGCCTTTGATCTGTAGTCCTGGGCAGTGGAATTCAGTGAGTGACATTGATAGGAGAGGACCAGGAGCTCAGGCATTTAACCCTGAGGTGATTAAGAGGGAAAAAAAGGGTCGTGTTTGTGAAGGCCCAGAGACACATCAAAAGCCCCAGGCAGAATGGCAGCACAGGAGAAACCTGCAGGATATAATTCATCACCTGCTTTGATCCTCTAGTTTTGTGAGTCACACAGACTGGCTGGGATGGTTTGGAAGCTCAGTGGGGTCTGGGCAGGAAGGAGAAAAACTCGAAGTCTGGAAAAAGAGGAGTGTTTTTTTGGCAGGTGGCTGATAAGAGGGTAGTTTTCTAGAGATGTGAATTTTCCTCAGTAGTCTCTGAGGCAGCTGCCATGTAGCTGGATCCTGGGATTTCTGCAGCCTGGGAACGGAGAGGAGTGACAGCGTTGGGTGTGTCTTGTGTTGCTGGGGCTCCTCAATAGTAAGCATGCACTGAGCACCTGCTGTATACAAGGTGGTATGCTAAATATCTTTAGGAGATGGAGTTTTTACATTAATAAATTTTTTTTTAAATCCGTGGCGCTCTCTATAGCCTCTTATGAAGCTACATTTAAGTAGAGAGTGTACAGGCTCAGGCACAAGAGAGATCTGGGTACGAATTCAGACACCACCACATTCTGGTTGTGTGATGCTGAGAGACCTACTTATCCTCTCTGTGTATGATTGTTAAATGGAGCGTTGCTGGTGCTCAGTTGAATGGTATCTGTTTTTCTGGGAAAACTTTGAGATTGGTAATACTACTTTCTTCTTCCTTGTTCCCCTTAATTATTTTACTCTTGGCATGGACACATGCATCCATTCTTCCAGCATGTATCAGATAAGATATGTTATCACAAAGATAGTAAGACCCGCCTATGTCCTCATTGAACTCCCCATCTTATTTGGAAAATAATTTACCAAATACAGGATGTCAGGTACATGCTTTTCATGGTGCTATATACAAAATACTGTTGGAATATGCTAAAGGATATTTTCCCTACAAATTGAAGACTTCCTGTGGGAGGTGATGCCTCAGAAACAGGGTTTTGAAGGATGAATAGGAGTTCACAAAGGAGGACCTAAATAAACTTAGGCGTTATCAATATTTCTTATTTTTATTCCTTCTCTTCCACTTCCTCCTCGTCCTCCCCTCCCCTCTCTTTTCCATTCTCCTCTATCTCCTCCTCCTCCTCCTACTCCTTCCTCATATTCATAATGCTTTATTGATAACAAGAATGTCTACCTAGAAACATGCCAAGTAGGAAAAAGGAGATAGTGTATTTAATTAGGAAAAATTATATTATGATTGTCTTCTCTAGACAGCATGTTAGTTTTTATCACTACAGTAAGTCATTCTGTTCTTGACTTTTTTCCCGGTTCAGTCTGGATGCATTTATTGGTGACTCACTTTCCATCTGCTGTCCCTCAGACATGGGATTATGAAAAGAGCCTCGCTGTGTAGTAGTGGATGTCTAGGGGAGGTGGGCGGCTTGGGTGCGGTTCATTCCGGGTTAACTCTCCCCTGGTCTCTCTGCGCCCGCAGATGGGAAGCCCGTGTCCCTGTCTCCGCCGGAGTCCCAGCCGCACAGCCCCCGGTACACGGCCTCCAGCCAGCGGGAGCGCGAGAGCCTGGAGGTGCGCGTGCGCGAGGTGGAGGAGGAGAACCGCGCCCTCCGCAGGCAGCTCAGCCTGGCCCAGGGCCGGGCCCCCGCCCATCGCCGCGGCAACCACTCCAGGACCTACTCCATGGAGGAGGGGACCGGGGACAGCGAGAGCCTGCGCGCTGGCATCGTGGCGGGCAACAGCTCCGAGTGTGGGCAGCAGCCGGTCGTGGAGAAGTGCGAGGTAAAGAGCCCTGGAACCCTCCAAGGGCCTGAGCGCCCCCACCCCTTGCAAATGCCGCCTGGAAGCACCACCACGTGCCGGCAAATAGCTGGCGTTCTTGACTCAGGCCTGAGGGTGAATCTGGCTGGGTCACTAACTTTGCTGTGTGGCCTCAGAAGTCAGTTAGCCTCTCTGAGCCTCAGTTTTGCCATCTGAAAAATGGGATCAGAAGGCCTACACCACAGACATATTAAGAGGAGCAAACTGAACCTGCTGCTGGTTGCCTTGCGGTTCATTTTAACATGCTTAGGGTTTCTACACCCAATTGTCATCCTGGGGACCCCTGTTACTTAGACTACAGTGTGAATGATGCACCTGGAGTTGTGGCCCTGATGGGCAGGTCCCTTGGCGCTTATTCTCACTTTATGAGCTTCTGCCATTCAGAACCAGAGACTTGGTGCTTATCTAAGGTGGTGATCTGAACTTTTATAGCTTAATATCATTTCCCCCTTTTGAAAGTGTGCTTGCTTTCTTAGTAACTCTTTGGGCATTTGGAAAACTTACCCGCTCCTCTCCCTATAGCCCCTACTTCCTCTTTCGTGCATTCATGCTCATGTATGCACTGAATACACACACGCATACACATGCATTTTTGCTCCAGAACTGCTTCTTCCTGTTCCTGTGGACAGAAATTAGAGAAGAGCAAGGCCTTTTGAGACACTGACAAGCCTGAGTTCACACCCCAGCTCTGGCGGTTTCTGCTGTGAGTGCATGAGCAAGTTACCTAACCTCTCTGAACTTCAGACGTCTCATCAGTAAATCTGAGAAAATAATACCTGCTTCCTGGAGTATCTGTGAGAATTAAATGAGATGGCCATGTAAAGACACAAATAGCGCCTGGTAACATAGTTTGTTTTCAATTATGGGTAATTTTTATTATTTTTAGTTCGATACAGAGATTACCTATTTGTTCCATTTCCTGGCCACATTCTCAGAATGTGAGACTTCAGACTTTAGACTTTGCAAACTGTCATAGGCTGTTCACATGAATGGGATTATTACTAATATTGGTGACACTATACAGTGTGTCACAGGGGAATAGAGGGCTTACTGAGTGATGCAGACTAGGTTCTGACTCGGAAGGTCAGTGGTAAGTGAGGAGACTAGACTGGAACAGTCAGGGAGAGCCCCTGGGGATAGTAGGGTTTCTCAAGCCTGGGTGACGTGTGGAGAGGTGGAGGAAGGTGGACAGAGGGTGTCCAATGAGGAATGTACATGTGAGTAGGAAAAATATGAAGCAGAGCGTGGTCATAGCAGGAGAGAATTCGGGACGTGGATGGTTGGTCAGTCAGGCGAGCACAGAGAACCTGGGCAGGGAAGTGGCTGCACTGCATTGTCTTCATTCATTCATTCATTCATTCATTAGACAAATATTTATTGAGCCTCTGTTCTGCATCTCAAACTGTTCTGTGTGCTGGCTAATAGCAATGAACCAAAAAGGTACAAAACCCCCTTTCTTCTGGTTCTTACAATCTGAGGGGGGACGTGGAGGAAGGGATGATAAACAAATAGAGAAACACAAACGTCGGGAGGTGTTGACTACCTGCCAGGCCCAGTCTTATTTCATCTTCCACAACCATTACCAGAGGCCCGTGTTATTGAACATCTCTATTTTACATCCTTGAACATGGGGACTCAGTGATGTTAACAAATTCCCTTGGCCTAGGCTGGTCTGGAGAGGGCCCTAATTTGGGGAACTTCTCTTCTCGCCTGGGTGAAGGCTTTTTGATTTCTTGCAGGTTCTCTGCTCTCCGGTTATGGTCCTAGTGTCAGTTTAGAATGGGTGATGGAACCCTGCTAACCAGGTGGGAAGGCCCAGAGGAGGGAAAGTTTTTCCTTGAGTGTATTTACATTTTTAGGACTCAGGCCTACTTAAAGAACTAAGAATCAAGGAGGTGGAAAATAGAAAAGGAAAAGGAAACAAAGGGGACACACAAGTGTATCAGAGGGAGAAAAGGGGTCTTCTCTGCTTGCTGCAGACTGTCTGGCCAGTGGCTTCCTTCCCCTCTCAGTTTTCCGAGAGGTGTGCGTCCTATTTCTAAAGAGGGCTCTTCTCCGAGCGCCCTGCCAATACTGTAGGCCAAAGACTATTGGTTTTGAAGCTGGAAGAGGTGAGTCTAAATCCTGGTGCATTCCTAGCTTAACAGCCATGTGGCATTGAGCAAGTTATATCACTTTTCTGTGTTTCAGTTTCCTCGTTTGTAAATTATGGATTAAAACCAAGTCCCTGCCTCATACTGTTTCAATGGTGACAGTGGATACTAGAACTTTAGGCAAACTCTAAGATAGTTAGTTGTATTAGCATTCAGTTTCACTGTGATTGATCAAAAAATCCCAAGTAACAATGCCTTTGCCTCTTTTTTCTCTTTATGTTTAAGAAATCTAGGGGCTGGCCTAGTGGCATAGTGGTTAAGTTCACATGCTCCACTTTGGCAGCCCAGGGTTCGCGGGTTCGGATCCCAGGCGCAGACCTATGCACCACTCATCCAGCCATGCTGTGGAGGCATCCCACATGCAAAATAGAGGAAGATGGGCACGGTTGTTAGCTCAGGGCCGATCTTCCTCAGCAAAAAGAGGAGGATTGGCAACAGATGTTAGCTCGGGGCTGATCTTCCTCACCAAAAAAAAAAAAAAAAGAACACGTCTTAGAAATTTTACATTCAGTTCCTTTTACAACTGGGTAGCAGAACTTCATTGCAGGGCTACCTTTAGCTGCAAGGGAGCCCGGAAAAGATAGATTTTATTCACAGAAGCCATGTTCTCCGCTAACATGTTGCAGTTCTGCTACTAGAGCAAACAGATATTACTATAAACAGTGAACATTCTCTGTTGTCTGGGTGGTTTCCAAACTTGGCTGTGCATTAGAATTACATATCAAAAATGCATATTCCTGGGACCCACCCAGACCTACTAATTGCAAATCTCTGGGAGTAGGTCCCAAGAGTACAGGTATTAAACAAATCTATTCATGTGATACTGAGATAGTAGAGACTGTTTGGAACCCACTGCTTTAAGGCAACATAAATACATGATGGGGTTCTCTTTATCTCTGTACTCTTTGAAAGATAATATAGCAATATAGGAATAAAGAAAACTGTAACTTAGTTTTATTCTTTTGACTTGCACCTGAGAACTAGATTTCATTCGTTTTCTTCTTTCTCTATGTTTCTTGATGATGTTACTTCTTAGACCCTTAAAAAGTTATTTTTGGTAGAATTCCCCCGGTCCTGTTAACAGCTTCCGTAGATGAATTTGAAAGTCTTGATCTGCTGGCATTATTTCAATGTGGTCTACCCTGGGTGCACATTTACATTGAGATACTGGCTTCATCCGCATTAGCAGTATTCTTCCTCTATCCCCATCACATGGTGTCTTGAAAGATTTTAGAGAAAAAGCCATAGAGGCAAACCAGAAGTGTCAGTCAGTGGAGTCAAAATAGAAGCCTCCCTTCATCATGACACTTGGCGGCTACAAGTGCTATAGCTGCTCCTGATGCGCTGTCAGAGTGCAGGGTTTTGTAACCAAGGACGTTGCCATCATCGCTTGTTGTGCTGAAACTTCTCTGGGGTGTGACAAGTATGTCTGAAGACTCTTCTGTACCGATGCCCAGGATGTCAGCTGAGGTATCTGGTGATAGAAGCAATGGGCTCTCGCCAGTCGTCATGCCCTCTTATCATTCCCTTATTACATGGCCTTCCAGTGGCCGCTCATGTTATTCTTGAGTGTTTCTGTTGTCAGGGGACTGGTGTCTGTGTGCCTTGGGACTTGGAGCAGAATGATCCTCTTTGATCTCCACTTGGGCCTATGTGTGCACAGATATTTGTATTTTGCTGGCATTTCTGGTTCTGGTCTATTCTGGGGGTCAGCTATGGTACAGGAGAAAATTCACTGCAACTAGAGTCAGAGTTCCTGACCAGGAATCTTTGCTTTGCTACTCACTAGTGATGTGACCTTGGGCAATTCAGTTACCGTCTTGGAGTCTGTTTCATCATTACAAAACGAGAATAGTAATATGTTTTTCGCATTGCAATTGGGAGGATGAAATGAGATAGTGGGTGGGAAGCTAACTGTGTGAGGGTCTCATGTGCTTACTGTGGAGATTCCAGTTCTCTGTTGCTGCCTAATAAATCACCTAAATGTGAGGGCTTAAAACAATACCAATGATTTTGTCAGCTCTCATGGTCTCTGTGGGTCTGGGAGTCAGGAAGGGCTGAGCTGGACAGTTGTGGTTTGGGGGCCCTCATACAATTAGTTGTTGGCTGGAGCTGGAACACTGCAGGGCTGGAGCAGTGGGCACTGGCCCAGCATCTCTCTTCTTACTGTAGACTCAGGGCTTCTCCCTGTGGTCTCTCTGCGTGGCTAGACTGGGCTTCCTCACAACATGGCGGCTCTATGCGTCCATGGCAGCTGTAAGCTTTAAGTACAAGTATTCCAGCAAGCAAGGCAGAACAGAAGCACTTTTTATGACCTGGCTCAGAAGTCACATAGTGTCACTTCTGCTGATAGTGTAGTCTATTAGTTGAAACAGTCACAAAAGCCTACCCACTTTGAAGGGGGAAGGAACATACACCCCATCTCTCAATGGGAGGAATGTCAAAGACTTTGTGGATATATACTTTAAAACGTCCACAATTGATATTATTATCGTGGAAATTTTGGTGAATGGTACTCTCTGATGTCAGACCACCCTTTAAAGAAGTATCTCTCTTTGCTTCTACTCCTTGAACTCTAAGCCTTGAACTTCATCTCTCAGTAGTAATGTAACAGTAATAAAAATTATCATGTACTCAGCCCTTAAAGTGTATGCAACACTATGATCAAACTTACATAAAATATCTCATTTAATCCAGACAACATACTTTCTTCATTTTACAGGTTAGAAAACTACTGCCAGGAAAGGTTAAATAATTATTTCAAAGTCACACTGCCAGGAAGAGGTGGAGCTCTCATTTAAACCTAGG